TTCATTTACATCGAATGGCAGTTGTGGAGAGGTGATTAGTGGTCGCCGGGGCATCTTATTCAAATTGGACTGAACAGTTTAATCAGCTACAATATCCAGAATGTAGTTGTGTCACGAGTATCGCGAGCCTCATGAAGCAACTCGAGCTCTTCGTCTGTTGTAGGTGGCGCTAGTGTCCGATGATAGAATTCAAGGGCTGAGAGTTGACGAAGATTTTGATTGCTTACCGATGAATGGGCTGTCTATAATAAGACTAAATTTGTATTGTCGGTTTGGTTCAGCGGATGGTATATTCTCATTCACAAGACAGTCTTAGGTAACTTTGCGAAAGATATATTTCCAATGCTAATTCAGTAACGTGACATTGATAAAATACGGTCCTCAGCAGTATACCTATAGCAGTATACAGCGCACCTAAACGTAACCAATCTGACGTGTATCTTGCATTAAACAATAAAGTACAAATAAAAAGAATCTTATATATATTTTAACCACTTGCGAGCACCAAAAGGAGTAACCGAGATATTCATAAATCAACAGGTGATACCTTGACACCAAAAGAACAAAAAGAAGTCAATAGATGAAGAATTTCATAGCCATTACTTGATTTGCTGATTTTACCGAAAGTATCATGCGGCTGCAAATAATCGCAATAATTAAGTCGGACTCTACAGAATTAAGCATAGAACAACATAATTATAAACGAGCACATGACAAGGAGACTGCCAATAACTACGAGGGGGTTTGGCCAACTAAAGCCACTTCAAAACTTTCCAAACAGCCCATCAAGCTGGAAATTGTAACATAAAAAAAAGAACATAATATTAGCAACGCGCCATTAATTTGCAATACGTATTTGCTAGCCAGCGACCGACAAACATTGAACGAACAAAGAAGGCTAAAGAGAACAAAAATATTGGTTAATCATTTGGAAGGNTGCAATACGTATTTGCTAGCCAGCGACCGACAAACATTGAACGAACAAAGAAGGCTAAAGAGAACAAAAATATTGGTTAATCATTTGGAAGGACGTTGGCAATTAAAACAGCTGTCTTTCGAACACCAGCCAGCCAGCCAGACACTCAGCCATCCATCCAGCCGCTGGGCTAGTCAGCAAGGCAATCAGCATTGAGTCACCATACTGTGACAATAGTGATTTAGTACATTGGCTATACTTTCAATTTTAGCCCTTTTCATAATTAGTAGGAAATAAGGTAAATGGTATTACGACACGGCATTATTAACTTTTTACGGACTGGTCAGACGTGGCAAAAAAAAAAAAAATTATTGCCAATGAGCACACTTTTTCATAACTTCAGCGATTGGTAGCTGCTACGGTTGATTTATTTAAACAGCTGATTTAATTAGTATGGAAGAAGTCATTGGCTTTGGATCAATCAAGCGTAGCCTAATGCGCCATAAACGATAAAGAAAAAGCAGTAAAAAAAGGCTAATCGAGTTGTGTTCTAAGAAAATATTCGCTTTTCTTTTTTTTCGAATATTGCTTCCGAACGGAAGTTGGCTAAGCTTTAAAGCGCATGAATAGATTATGAAAACATTAAATAAATTATTGGTTGCATCAATAAAGCTTATTACAAGTGACTTGGTGAGTTGCGAAAAAGAACAGAAAAAAATAGAACGAATTTTAATTTCCACAAATGATTTGATTTTAGTTGCGCTCTAATTTGGTTCTTATACGAGCCGTTTAATTTGAAAGTGACATAAGTCGTCTCCAACCTCTGTTGCTTGTATGGTGTTTACCTCTAACTAAATGCATCTGCAAATCGCTCTAACGTCATAAACTAATGACAAAAGGTTTTAACTTTGACTGATGAAGTTTAACGAATAACAGACGCGTTCAGATACAGGTAAATCATCACTGAAGTCGNAATTAGTATGGAAGAAGTCATTGGCTTTGGATCAATCAAGCGTAGCCTAACGCGCCATAAACGATAAAGAAAAAGCAGTAAAAAAGGCTAATCGAGTTGTGTTCTAAGAAAGTATTCGCTTTTATTTTTATTTATTTTTTGAATATTGCTTCCGAACGGAAGTTGGCTAAGCTTTAAAGCGCATGAATAGATTATGAAATCATTAAATATATGACTGGTTGCATCAATAAAGCTTATTACAAGTGACTTGGTGAGTTGCGAAAAAGAACAGAAAGAAATTAGAACGAATTTTAATTTCCACAAATGATTTGATTTTAGTTGCGCTCTAATTTGGTTGTTATACGAGCCGTTTATTTTGAAAGTGACATAAGTCGTCTCCTACCTCATTTGCTTATGGGGTGTTTACCTCTAACTAAATGCATCTGTAAATCGCTCTAACGTCATAAACTAATGACAAACGATTTTAACTTTGGCTGATGAAGTTGAACGAATAAAGACGAGTAATAGATCACTGAAGTCAAACGACATGAAACGACTTATGCCACTTTCAAAATAAATGACACACATGAAATTTCTATCGGAGTGCCCATATGAGATTTTATGTAACGTGATCTGGACTGATGTGATATTTTGTGATATATGGTATTATTATGTGATGTTATGTCATATGATGTGATTTCACATGATTTAGTAAAGCGTGATATGAGGTGGCATGGTCATAAGCATTCGGACAAGCTCTGCCCGAAACCATACAAGTTTTAACTTATACAAATATACGATTTAATTTTGAAGTGATGTAATCTGATATGATGTGATGTCATTTTGAAAAGAGTATCATGCCTTTTTTCGATTAAAACAAATAGTAATGTTTCCCCTTACCTCCCAATGGCTGAACATCAATTGTGGGCAAGCTAGTCCCGAGGTTTGCTTACGTATCTCCTGTGCGAAATTAAACGATTCAATTACTGGTAATATCGCCATGACTGAGAAATTGCCACTGCCTTGAGTTAGATCGCCCGATAAAATTTTGCCATGACGTCGACCAATAACAGCGTACATTTTACCTGCAAAAAGTAGAAAAGAGGAGAGCTTGAATATGAAGTGTTTCTAGAATATAAGTAAATATAACAAATGAACATACAAATATGCTAAAATATGAAGATTTTATGTACAAAA